GAACTCCAGAAACTGATGTTGCTTTTAGTGGGGACTCGATGTTTCCATGTAATTCTTTATCCAACTCACCAAGTCTGAGCTTCAGGCCGCTACGGAGTGAAATTCATGTTACTGCTATGGTTGACGAAACTAGCAAAGTTAAAGAGAGTCAAAATGAGGGTATTCTGTTAGATACTTTACAAGAGCAGATCATGACCTCCCATGAGGTAACCCAGCCTGGTAGTTCTGTGGCGCATTCTCCTTGCTTAGGTCAAACATCACCTGGTTCGTATGTTGATTCTTATAACCACACCATGTCAAAGTATCCTGGTGGTGATATAGTTGAGAAGCCAAATGGTGATCCAATAGAGAAGCTGACTGATGTTGGCTCCCAAGAAAAATACTCAGGCAGTGCTAAGATTGATATGTTTGATGCTGAAACATTGTCATCTGATGGAAAAGTTTTTGGAACTGAAATTATTGGTGATTCAGGTGTTCGTCTATCTAGATCACATGTCAAAGATCATGTGTCTCTGTGCCACATCAGGATTCCCAAAGTAAGACATCTCTGAGTTCTAGGTCTGATATAGAAAGGAGGAAGAAGAAATCCGATTACTCTGCTCAGAAAAGTTATCCCCGTTCCCTGCCTTTTGTGCCTACCACTGTGAAAAATGCTAACCCGCCAACTCATATCACAAAGCGTCACACTTGGCATCGAAAGTCCGATACTTCTGCCTCTCCTTTTGTAGCTGCAAAGCCTTTGTCTACGCAACAGAAGTTTCCACTAATGACTGCCGAATCTGGTAGAAGTTACGTACGTAAAGGGAATAGTCTTCTTCGAAAACCCTCGTATGATTCTTCTGGTGTTTCCCTTGGACTGCCTCCATCTGCTATTCAGTTAAACCGCGTCGAAGACAAAAGCACGGGATCTGCCAGTAGGGTTGATATAGGTAACGCTTCCTTTCTTGTTAAAACAGGAGAAATACCCACTCTTGAGAGGCAATCAAAGCCTCCCTCAGACAGCAGCACGTCCAAAGTATCAAATGCCATTGCTACTTCTTTAGGAAAATGTGCGTTAACTAACAGCATGGATCCCCTCACCACTGGTTTACCTGAGTCTATCATGGATTCTTCTACATCTGGAGAAGCTAATGTTCAACACTCTAGTGGGGATACATTCAAAACATCTGAGGCACTAATTCAGACAGGCTGTGCTTCAGATTGCCAGCAGAAGAAAAATCCTCCTAAATTGGATTCATCAAATTTGCAGAGAATGATATATGTCAAAAGGAAGGCAAATCAGTTGGTTGCAGCTTCGGATATTCATGGTGCAAGTAAAAACCAGATTCACCCCTCTGATGGCTACTTCAAGCGAAGTAAGAATCAGCTAGTAAGGACTTCAGAGAGCCGTGCCAATCACTCACCTGATGAAGCATTACAGTCACGACCAGCTGCAACCATGGTTCCGAAAAGATCATCTAGCTCAGCATTCTCCGACTCTGGTATGTCAGCGCTCTTTGAGCATCTATCAGGAATGTGTTCAAATTGATTTGACGCATAGTTCTGTTGGAGATCCTAACCAGTGGAAGAAAGGAAGAATTGGTTTGATTTGCCTTATTCCTTTTTCTTTTTGGTTTAGGATTTCTTACAGAAACATGCGTATCAGATTCCCTTTTTTATATACTTGTATATGATTTTCTTGTTTTGCACCCATAACCAGATGCGAAAAATGAAGTAACTGGTCCTCTTTGTATTTGCAGCTGTCACGAGACCATATAAGCAGTCAAAATTTTCTCTGGTTTGGACGCAAAATGATCCAAAGTCAAGAATGCCTATAAGTCACATGCGCTATCAGAGGATCTTGCCGCAACTTGTTCCTTGGAAAAGAGTGACATACTGGAGAAGATTAATGAATTCAGTGTCTGCTATGCGAAATGGTTCTTTTTCCAACATCAGGTATGTAGCATCTAATGTGCTCATATTCCTTGAGCTGCAACTCTTCTTCTTCTTTTTTGGTGTGTGCAAACTTAGTGACAGGGTATTCTAATCTTCAGTCAAAAGTTGTCGATGACGAGGAAGAGACATACAGTTTACACAAGATCAACTAATGGGTATTCACTTAGAAAATCCAAGGTATTAAGTGTTGGTGGGTCGCATTTAAAATGGTCAAAGTCCATTGAGAGAGACTCGAGAAAAGCTAATGAGGTTAGTTTCTTCGCTGAGTTGCTTCTTTAGCACGATTTAAAAGAGGCGTAGACAAGACAATAACAATTTCCCCCTATTTGTACAGGAAGCCACCTTGGCTGTGGCTGCAATTTCAAAGAAAGAAAGTGAAAAGCATTCTGGACAAAGTAATACCAGGACGACAAGCAGAAACCATTTGGCTCGTAAGTTGGTTCACGATAAGTATCCATGGCTAGTAATTTGGACGAATTATTCTGTTTTTTGGGAGGCCTCCTGGCCAGTCCATACAAAGCTTCAATTTTGTTTCTCTTGGATTTATCTTCTTTTGTCTCTTGAGATTCCCGGATAACTATTTTAGCAAACCTCATGATTTGTTCTTATCCACTTCTGTTCTTCAGGGGAGCGTGTTTTCAGGTTTGGTTCTCTTCGCTATAAAATGGACTCTTCAAGGCGAACTCTTCAGAGAATATCTGGTAGGGTATCCGAAATTTAGAATACACATAAACGTTATAGGATTTATATTATTATGATCCGATCAAAATAGGATTTTAGAGAATCAAGAATATGGGATCGTGCGAGTAGGAAATAGAAACGTTTAGCCGGGACAAAAGTCAGCCATAGTGATCCATTATCAAATATCTGGAGTTTCTATTCGTGTATAGTATAGGGATGATCCGTTCTATACAATACACAGTCAGCCTTAGTGATACGTTATCAAATATATGGTGATCATTCCCTCTAGGTGGTTGATGATTCTCAACAAAGGTTTTGATTGGATATGAGAAATCTCTAGGCTTGGAAGTGTTGTTAGTTTTCATTTGTCGCACAAATTCTTTGCCTTATGTATCTCTGCTGAGCTGAGACATGATTCTTTGTCAGATGTTGATTCACCGTGCTCTGGACTTTCTGAAAATGGGAAAGGTGCAAAAATACCGTTTATCCCAAATAGATTGGTGATCGGCAATGAAGAGTATGTAACTCTCTATTCAAATTTGTCTAATTTTACTCCATGTTCTGGAGCCTTAGTCGAGCATTTCAATTCAATTTTTTGCAGGTATGTTCGTGTGGGAAATGGTAACCAGCTTGTCAGGGATCCAAAGAAACGAACTCGTGCGTTGGCAAATGAGAAGGTCAGATGGAGCCTGCACAATGCTCGGTTGCGGTCGGCTAAAAAGAAGAAGTACTGCCAGTTCTTCACAAGATTCGGGAAATGCAACAAAGATGACGGAAAATGTCGCTACGTTCATGACCCCTCGAAAATTGCAGTTTGCACCAAATTTTTGAATGGAATGTGTGCCAATGCAAATTGCAAATTGACTCACAAGGTTTTCTACTAGTCATTGCTGCAGGATTTACTTCACAGAAATCTTCTAACTACTCAAGTTACTTCTTCCACAGGTCATTCCAGAAAGGATGCCTGATTGTTCTTATTTTCTGCAAGGTAATATATTTCCTCTGTGCTAAGATCGATCCCATTGCGGTTTATATATGCACAATACTAATACCTATAACGCAGGCCTCTGCAACAACGAGGCATGCCCATATAGGCATGTGCATGTCAACCCAAGCGCCGCTATATGCGATGGGTTTTTGAAGGGGTACTGTTCAGACGGAGATGAGGTAAGGATCCAACTTAGCATATATTACACGTTGATATGCTAGTTGATATGCATATACACCTTTCTTTAGGCACTGCTAGTGACTATTTTAGTGACCTCAATATTAGATTAATCTTTTGGTGACTTTAATAGCATATTAAATTGACTAATACCACAAGAAGTACAAAGCAAAGAGGTCCCTCTCTGGCTTTGTTACATATATTGCTTCTCCCTCTGAATTCGCTCACGAACACTTGATGAAGTAAGATTGCGGATTGTCTCTACCTAATTTGGTAACAGTGTCGGAAGAAGCATTCCTACATCTGCCCGGATTTCGAAGCCACTGGATCATGCTCTCAAGGATCGAAATGCAAGCTCCACCACCCGAAGCACCAAAGCAAAGGAACGAAAAGGAAGAGACCAAGCGAGCCTTCTCAGAAAAATGCCCGTGGTCGTTACTTTGGTTCGCTTCAGAAAGGTCTTTCGGAGGCTGAGCCAATGGTACTACTCGATGGACGTTCTACTGACAGTGAAGCTTTTGGTATGGAAGGCCTCGACTTTATCATCCTCGGCGCCGCTACTGAGTACGAATCCGGTGATAACAATGATACAGCTACCGAGCAATCTGTCTCCAGTGATAATGAAGAACCGGTTTCCATATATAATCTAATCAGACCAGTCGCCTTGATGCAGTGAGAAGCAATCGCCAGTTCTGTTTTTTTGTGACTACAAAGGTAAGCTTTTTCTGTTTTAAGGACAAGTACACGTTTTCTGATGTACCTTCTTCGCTCTCTTTTGTAGCTGGTTAGGGATTTAGCTTTCTCTAGATTATACGTTTGACAGGGAAGAATTGTACATAGTTTATCTGTAATTAGATCGCCACATTATAATACATTTATCTCTTTTGTGCCTTCTTCTCTTGTTATTCTTTTTTTTTTTTTAAATAAGTTGGCTTGGGAAGCTATTCGTTAATAATACTAATACATAACAGAAGTCAGTAAACAGGGTAGAGATATAAAACATTACAGAACTTGCAGCCACTGGGGGCTGTCTTTAGATATGAACTACTAGACAATGATGAAGTTAATAGTTAATACATAACAGAAGCAAAGCCTTAACGAAGTTATGTCATGAAACAAAAGTCCACGATAACAGAAGCTACTCTTGTCAGAAACATCACGTGATCTTCAAACATTCACGGTCGCGCCAAGGTTTGAATGCATCATGACGAACCATTTTCTGAGAAACAACAAGATCCAATAATTAAACCACAAACAGGGTACAGGACGCGTTTTCAGGGTAAACGAATCGAATGTAAAACAAGAAGGTATCTCAAACTCTTGAGAAGGATTGAAATAAGTTGGAAAAACAGATCACTTTTATTTACCTCCAAATAAAAGATAAACCCGCGCAACAGGTTGAGAGCTCTATGGTGATCCTTATCACGCAAAGCTTCTTTCAACATCGTTTTGAAATCTGCGAAGACGAAATCATAACAAACACTCAATATAAAGGTGATGAACATTTTTCTATGCGACAAATTTATATATACTTGCAAGAACATCATCTGTCTGGTGGACTTACTAGGATACTTGTCGAGATATGAACGTCCTTTTTCGTCCGTTTCATAATCAATCTCTCTTCCATCTCGCAGTTCCCTACACCGAATCAACGATCTACGCTCAGCTGCTTGTTTCTTAAGTTCCAACAACTCTTTCTCATTGTACGGTTTCTTGAGAATACTCGTTATCTCCTTCCTGAACCAAGAACTGCGTTGATCATCGTCGTCCTCATCGCTCTCTTCCTCCAAGTCCTTATAAAACTCAAACAAAAGATTTCAATATGTGAGGCAAAAACAAAGGTGAACGAAGGTAAGGTTAATAAATAATTACTCACTGTAACTTTGTAACTTTTTGATGCCACAAACGGAGATTCCTCTTCATCCTCAAACGGACGATCTCCAACCGCAATAATATCCGAACCAGACAAAGACATCGTATCATCTTCTACCTCACGCTTCACTTGTATCTCTTTCTCAGCATTAGCTCTTCGAATTCTCGATTTCTCCACTAACCATGCGAGATAAGCTCTGTAATTCTCATCAGGTACCATTTCTCCTTCCGAATGCTTCTCCTTGCGAGCTTCTTGCGAGTTTCTTCCAACTCCATCAACACTCTTCTCTCTTCGCCTTTTATCCGAAACCACAGCTTCTTTTGCTGTCTTCTTACTACTTGCTTGGACATGACGATGCTTTGACTCAACAACATTCTTCTTCTTGGTCACATTCACACGAACAGTGTTACGATCTTCTTCTCTACTCCTCCTCTTCTTCTTCTCATCTGTAACCGCTTTGAATTCGCGCTTGTCGTAACCTCCGTTATCAACGTCATACCTAATACACCTCAGTGGATTATCTCTGACTCTCGGATATGAATCCCCATCTTCTCTAAAACTATCCAACAGCATCATATAACGCCGATCGATTTTGTTATCCCAACCATCATTAGCATTAGTAGCAGCACAAGAAGTCGGTTGCATGTTGGAGGGATTAGCTTCGTCAGGCTCTATTGGAGTATCGGTTCGCTGAGCATCATCCATCATAATACACTCATTCACTTCACCACAAGGCACATCTTCATCTGGCTCCTTCTTCACAGGTCTCATATCAGCAGCAGAGTTCTTCATATTTCTCAAATTTAAGACAGATCGTTCAAATCACAGAACAGAGAGGGATTAATCAGATTTCTTAAAATTGACTTAGCTTCACTTCAATTCATGGCAGATTCTGGGGGGAAACAAAGATGTGAGGGTAAGAATTAAAGATTATAGGACGCATGCAAGGAGATAAAGTTTGAAACACACATAAATTCAAATTTTGGAAACAGAAGAAGAAGAAAGTAGAAGTAGAGTGGTGGTAGGAACACTTACATTACTATTTCTAGAAATCTCTCAGCAGTCAATCAAACAAGGAGAGTGAGATCATTTTTATTATATGACATTACTGAAAGAGGAAAAAAAAATTGAGAGTTTGGATCAAGAAAAAACCCTAAATCGAGTGGCTAAGAAAAGTAAGTCGCTTGTCTCATCGAACCTCTCGCCATGACTCTCTCCCACTCAAAAACAGTAGCTATAAAGTCAAGTCAGTAATAAAGCGCGCCGTCGAGAAGAGAGCCGTTTTGTCTTAGATATTTTTCATTTTGGGCCGAAATATAGGATAAGGCCTGAATGTATATATTGGGCTCAGGTGTTGTTCTTCACTAATCAATAGTTCAATACTATGGCAATGGTAGTCAAATGAAAATTTGTGGTAGGAATAGTGGTGGGATTGGAGATGAAAAGAAAGATAATACTACAGTTTTCTTTCCTCTGATTTATATTGTCCACATGAAAACTATAGATTTTTTTTTGTGCCCCACAAGGAAAAAAAAATTGAAAAATGTCCATGGACATGTATGTGGCCGGTGATAAAATATCTTGATAAAGTGATAAGTATGGACCGCCTTAATGCCACGAAACTCAAGAACATTACCGAACATTCCATATGTCACAATCCTATTGTGACAACACTCTAACACATACTACTGTTTATCTAATCAAAATTCCAAGTATGTAAACTTAGCCTAGTAAGCTTCAAGTTGGTTAAATCATCAACCATTGTAATGCAAGATAACAATTTAGGTTTAGACATATCAAAGTTTTTGTTTGTTTTACGGTCTATAACAAGATTATTCAAAGATCGGAATTAGACGAATCACAAACCATCCATTTTTCATACACAGTTAGATATATGTGATAGCTATTGATTAGTTGACAAAAGATAACAATAATTAGATAAAATGTCATACTTGTAGGACTTTTCTTCTAGAAACGTCATGTTTTTCAAGAATTTCGTCATTTTCATATCACATTACAGCCTTCCCGGAAGCTTCCTCTGCTTCTATCTCTTCCGTCCACAAGTACACCTAATGCATCCGTACACTCATATATACTATATATATAGAGCTCTCTGTGTGTGTAATGTCTATAGCCGATAAAGCTTGAAACTCTCTCTGGAGAAACATTATTACACACTTCACCAACATAACCAAAACGTCAAAACAGAGACACACACACACATATACATGGATTGTTCGTTCATAAGCATAAACGATCTCCGAAGAATGTTCGAGAAGCTCGACAAGAACCAAAACGGGCTCGTGACCCTCGACGAGCTCCATTGGATTCTCGAGAGGCTCGGTTGGACCGAACACACTCCCGAAGAGCTCGAGTTGATCGTTGGAAAACAGAGCCTTGACTTGGACGAATTCCTTCGGTTCTACTACGACGCCGTTTCAGTTAGGAAAGGGACGGAGAATCATAACGTTGTTGATGATGATGAAGCAATCGCGAAGGCGTTTCATGTGTTCGATGTGAACGGCGATGGTTATATTTCGTCGGAGGAGCTTCGGACGGTTTTGGAACGGCTCGGGTTCGAGGAGGAGGCAAAGCCTTGTGATTGTGGGAGAATGATCCGAGTTCATGACAAGAATCTTGATGGTGTTATTGATTTTGAAGAGTTCAAGAACATGATGTTACATGTGTGATATGTGTATATAGTCCATGCGACATGTTTGATGTGTTATGTACTTATGTGTAACATTGTAATGTATATTGTGTATATATAGCTTACGTGTCTAACAAAAGCACAGTTAACAGAATCTATGGCATTTGGTTTGTTGAAATTTTCATTTCTTTCTCTTTACAGTTTCTTTGTAATCTTATAATTCTTTCATTCGAGTTCAAAGTGAGTAATATGGTGATGCTTGATACTGTAGATATCTGAACATTTCTTTCATGTTGATTGTATTATTTCTTATGGGCTTCTTATGCTGTTTGTTTTGGGCTTTCCTCATCTGGTTAAACCGGTCAGAACTTTGGTTTTCTTGGTTCCTCTGGAATACCCGGTTTAGTTCTGTAATGTTCATGAAATTTTTAAATTTGAAGGACTATAATCTATTTACAGTGTTACAGAACTTGACAAGCATAGATATTTATTATCAGAGCATGACATATTTTGCCTTTTTAATCGAAACAAGACCATGTGGGTAAACGAGTAATTATTAAAGAAACCTCTTAAAGTTTTCATCTAAAATGACAAAACCTTTATGATGCCAAAATTGGTAAGTACACTGCCTATATACATATGTGCAATTAATGAATACGTATATGTTGGGTGATGTAGAGATCCATTGAATACGAATATAACTTCTAAACTACCCAATTTTATCCACATTAAATCGTATTACCATCCACTGCCGATGTTCATCTTCCTGGATTTTAAAGTTTTTTTGTGTACACACACAGTGTCACATGAATCACTCAGCTGTTGACAATCTTGATAAGAACATAACAATCGTTGATATTTAATTTCTTCTCTTTTCTTGTTTTCTTTCTGGCGAAGAGTATGATGTGTGTAACTTTTCTGTTAGATAGATTAATGAATTGTTTTGTTCTTAAAACAAAGTTAAAGCATTTTGACTATGTAAATAGTTTTTGTTACTTAACTTTTGTTCGATCTCTGATATATAGTCTGATACACAACACATTTTGTAACGTGTAATTCGCCAAATTGTTTGCATTTTATGTTAACATTTTTCAATTGTTTAATTCCCTCATACTTGATTATCAGTCGGTCCTCACGGATATCCTTACAAGTGTACAAGTTGTGTCTTTGCGTATGTACTTTTGTGTTGTTTAAGTTATCGAATTTATTTTAACAGTCTTGTTTTCTGGTGGACTATATGATTTACAAGAGTTAAGAGTAGTTAACCCTGAGTTGTGTGTTTATATCATATTATAAGCTCGAATTTGGGTTTGATCTGTTATTCATCGTGTGTTCTTAGAGTTCAAATTTAGCTTACAGTGACACAATATCAAAACAAATATGGTTGATAGAGAAAAAGTTTAGATGGTTTTTAGGATATATATGTATAAAACTGTAAAAATGGTTAGCAAAATCATGATATTTGTTTGAACATTTCAAGTGGTAAGTGTAAGTCATATCTATATTTTTAGTTTTTTTTTTTAAATAAAAAAATCAACACTCAACATTCAAACTATATATAAATATATTGAAAAAGTACAAGTCGCTCGACGGTACGTTAGCAAATAGCAACCAATTCTAGCAATTGATCACTCACATAAACGTAAGCAAAACTAACATCATGTGGACGTTGACAGTAGAAATCAATGCTAAGGTCAGCTAAAATGTATGTAAAGGTTTCCAAAGAGTTTCAAGATCATTGGACCTCTAAAAACTCAAGAATCTGTTCCAGATTTATTTTCCAAAAAGATATTAATAGTCTGATTTGAAGTATCCATGCATGATGCATGCATAATTATTTATCGTCTGATTTGAAGTATCCATGCATAATGCATGCATAATTAATTACCGTCTTAACCTTTCTATAAACATTTATTCTCTTATGAATATAAATTTAGAAATAAGGATCATTATTTTGGCTAACTCCTTCGACCGTAACCCCAAACTAAGGACTTGTTGCCACAATCCTGGAATTGTATTAAATAACGCTCGTTCGGTCCAAATTTTGTTAGTTCGTAAAATCGTCTGTATTCAACTCCCACACCTCCGTTATGTTTTATAACTCACCAACTTATATCCCCCAAAAATCTAGAGAGATTCTCTTTACATATTAACCAAATTTAGTACTTTGATAAGTTAAGAAACTAAAGAAGATTTGTTAAATTCATTTCATCAAGCTGATTTCGTGGGCCATATGTAATCAATTATAGTTACTAAAAGAAACAAGACCTAAACTCCAAACACTTTCACAAAGTTGACTTGATGCCTTTTCCAACATTTTATAAATACACACCTTCCTCACAATACGGCCATACCATAAACAAGAAATTAAACAAGAAAAAACAATGGAACTCTTGCTTCCACACCCATCAAACTCAACGCCTCTCACCGTCCTCGGCTTCTTAGACCGAGCCGCCTCCGTCTACGGTGATTGTCCGTCCGTCCTCTCCCCAAACACCGTCCACACTTGGTCAGAAACCCACAACCGCTGTCTCCGAATCGCCTCGGCTCTCACTTCCTCCTCTCTCGGGATAAACCGAGGACAAGTCGTCTCCGTCGTTGGCCCCAACGTCCCCTCCGTATACGAGCTTCAGTTCGCCGTCCCCATGTCCGGAGCCGTCCTCAACAACATCAACCCTCGCTTAGACGCACACGCACTCTCCGTCATCCTGCGTCACAGCGAATCCAAGCTCGTTTTCGTCGACCACAACTCCATCTCTTTAGTCCTCGAAGCAGTCTCGTTCTTGGGAAAACATGAGAAACCTCACCTCGTCCTCCTCCACGACGACCAAGAAGACGACTCTTCCTCCGCATCGGATTTTCTTGACACGTACGAAGGCATCATGGAGGGAGGAGACTCAAGATTCAAATGGATCCGTCCACAAACTGAATGGCAACCGATGGTGCTCAACTACACTTCTGGAACGACGTCGTCTCCCAAAGGAGTATTGCTTAGCCACAGAGCCATTTTCATGCTCACTATCAGCTCCTTGCTAGACTGGTCCATACCAAACCGGCCGGTTTACCTCTGGACCTTACCCATGTTCCACGCCAACGGTTGGGGTTACACTTGGGGCACCGCTGCCGTCGGAGCCACTAACATCTGCACGCGTAGAGTCGACGCGCCGACTATTTACGACTTGATCGATAAGCATCACGTGACACACATGTGCGCTGCACCGATGGTTCTCAACATGCTCACTAACTACCCTTCACGTAAACCGCTAAAGAACCCGGTTAAGGTATTCATAACTATCCCGGTTCAACTGTATTTAGACATTTGGAGAACTTTTGACACAACTCTGTTTTGGGTTTATGAATTTCAAATTCAGGTTATGACGGCCGGAGCTCCACCACCGGCAGCAATCATCTCCCGAGCAGAATCACTCGGTTTCAATGTCGGTCATGGGTACGGTTTAACGGAAACCGGAGGCCCGGTTGTGTCATGCGCTTGGAAGAGTGAGTGGGATCATCTTGATCCGGTGGAGAGAGCAAGACTGAAATCAAGACAAGGTGTAAGAACCGTTGGATTTGCGGAAGTCGACGTGAGAGACCCGAGAACAGGGAAGAGTGTGGAGCACGACGGAGTTTCTGTAGGAGAGATCGTTTTCAAAGGCGCATCGGTTATGCTCGGTTACTACAAAGATCCCGAAGGTACCGCGGCGTGTATGAGAGAGGACGGGTGGTTCTACACCGGAGACGTTGGGGTGATACACGAAGACGGTTACTTGGAGGTTAAAGACCGGTCAAAGGATGTGATCATATGCGGAGGAGAGAACATAAGCAGCGCGGAGGTTGAGACGGTTCTGTATACGAATCCGGTGGTGAAGGAAGCTGCGGTGGTGGCTAGACCGGATAAGATGTGGGGAGAGACGCCGTGTGCATTTGTGAGCCTGAAGTATGATAACAATGGTGATGGGTCGGTGACGGAGAGGGAGATAAGGGAGTTTTGTAAGACGAAGTTACCAAAGTATATGGTTCCGAGGAAAGTGATTTTTCAGGAGGAGCTTCCAAAGACTTCTACAGGGAAGATTCAGAAGTTTCTTCTCAGACAAATGGCAAAGTCCCTGCCTTGAAGAATCATCTTGAGTTATTGAGAATGTGAAGTAACTCGATGGAGTAAATAAAGTCTTTATCTTTTGTGATGTATTAATGTACCCTTAAGAGGGGGATTAGTTTGTAAAACTGATGAAACATGCTTGCTATTTTATTGTCATAAGATTTTCAAGGAAAGAGTTACTTATAATCCGAAGTATACGACTCTACGTATGTACCTAATCCGGTTAATCAATTTCATGTACACGACTCTGTTCGTCACATGAACTAAACGAAACGACGACGTTTCCTCACCAACGGGCCTAGTTATTTATAAATAATGGGCCCGATTTGTAGTATTACGACTCATAATGGGCCCTTATTGATACATTACGCATATTATTGACACGTAAAAACGAGTATGAGTCATTGATTGCTTCATACGTATGAAGTTTTTGAACGTAAACTTTCAAATATTTGCCCTTTATATTTCATGTATAGTCGACTGAAAAGTTGGTTTAATTCAAATATACTATCGAAAATAAAATTGGTTTGAATGAGAAACAAAGTTTAATGGAATCATAAAATGTAACATTTATGAAATATCTCACATTGGAAGTTTGAGGTGAAATTCTCTTGTAAATAAAGTGTAAAAATAAGATATTTGGACTGAACTTTTTTTCAGATTTTGGGATTTGACAATCGGATCAACGATCTTTAAGATTATTCTTTTGACCACTGAATTTTGTTGTTGAAAATAAACAACAAAATATCTCTTTTCATTAATGTTGGTAACAAAGTAATTAAGAAGAACATCAATTGTAATTTTTGTAAATTATGAAACTAATTGCATGTTGAATCATTAAGGTGAGAATGAATTGTCAATTCCACTTTATTGGACTATGTTGGTGCATGAGGCTATTATAAAGCCATGTTTTTCCTTCTTCTCTTAATACATCAACAAATATGTGATCAAACACAAGTAACAACAATCTCTCACTTTTCTTCTTTTATTTTGTTTTTCTTATGAAAGTACATCACAATAAACATGCTTCGCAAACCTATGATTAAAGTGATACAAATATAAGAAGTGTGAATTTTTATCCTAGGATTCGGAACACCATGCAATAAAATTAAAGAATTAGATCATATCTTGACTCTGCAAATCCAATTTTGTTTCCCTTAATTCTTGTTTATATATCATTTTAATATTTTATTTATATTAATTTATTTATATATTGCATTTTATAATTATCAATCACCCATTGTAGGAATTTCGATTGTTTCTCTATATGGCCATGGTATATCAAGTTGTTTGTCAATACTTAGTAACAAAGTATTTTGAAAGCGAACTCAAACTAGTCTACAGAATTTATGGAAGAGACGGATAATCTTTAGCAATTGAAGTTTACGGTGGTCAAACGTAATCGAAATCTCAATGGTAGACTTCGGATTTTGGTTTATATTTATACACCACGTCTCTATCACTATATAGCAGTTGGTTATCAACTTGTTTTTTTATAATCAAATGGTTTTTTTTATTAAATATATGATTTAATATCTAGAATCATAGACAGAATAATAGACTTACAGTTAATTATGAGCTGTATATGTTCATAATTTGAGTTTAGTTACAGTCTGGATTCATTCAGTGTGTTGTTCATTTTGTATTTTTCCAAGGTTTAATCATAGTGTAGTGTTAAAATTTTAGTAAATTGCTAAAACCAACAACCTTAAATATTTTAGTGTAGATGGTAATGGTTAAGGTATAGAACTGTAGCTGGGCCTAATATATAATTTGTTAGTTGAACCTGATCCCAATTTTATATGTCAACTGTCTAAAGATTCTTCATTTTATACCCACCAACATTTTATTATACCTTGTTTATTGTATATAAATTAAATAAAACACTAGCGATTCTCTCATTTATTGGTTAAATTTAGTATTTTATTATGATTAAGATACTAATGCAAAAAGTGACAACAATAATAAGACACAAACTACACGTTCCATTAAAGATTGAAACCCTTCTCACTTCAAGATTTTATAAATGATACAAACACCTATTAAGTCTTTCCACAAACTTCAAAGTTTTAACCAGAACAAAGACATAAACAAGAATCAAAGTATGGAACTCTTACTTCCACACGCATCAAACTCAACACCTCTCACCGTCCTCGGCTTCTTAGACCGAGCCGCCTCCGTCTATGGTGATTGTCCGTCCGTCCTCCACTCCCCAAACACCGTCCACACTTGGTCCGAAACCCACAACCGCTGTCTTCGAATCGCCTCGGCTCTCACTTCCTCCTCTCTAGGGATTAACCGAGGCCAAGTCGTCTCCGTCGTGGGCCCAAATGTCCCGTCCGTTTACGAGCTGCAGTTCGCTGTCCCAATGTCCGGAGCCATCTTAAACAACATCAACCCACGTTTAGACGCGCATGCACTCTCCATCCTCCTGCGTCACAGCGAATCCAAACTCGTTTTCGTCGACCACAATTCTATCTCTTTGGTTCTTGAAGCAGTCTCGTTCTTGGAAAAACACGAGAAGCCACACCTCGTCCTTCTCAACGACGACCAAGAGGACGATTCTTCGTCGGCTTCGGATTTTCTTGACAGTTACGAAGGGATCATGGAGAAAGGAGACTCGAGATTCAAATGGATCCGTCCTCAAACAGAGTGGCAACCGATGGTTCTCAAA